TCAAGGTCACTGCCATCCCAGGCAAAACAAAAATAGTGGTTTCAGAAGGCAGTTCTCTGCAGTTCATAAATCACAGAGCAGCCTTCAGGGGAGCTACACAAATTTGCATTAGACTTGAATTATCTGCCACAATAAACAATTTAGAATATTTTACTGCTTGGTCAGTACTGGTCTTTCTGTACAGAATAATCAAAGAGTTGAGAAAAGGAGTCACAGTTTAAAAAGAAAACTCATGATTAATATAATGTTCGGAAAAGTCTGCTGCGATTTAGAAAACCAGAATTTGGGTCTATCAGAAAGTAGATATAAATTTAATAGCTACAGTACGAATCATATCTAAATATTCAAAATTATTAACAGCCAGTGAGCTCTGGAATGAGTGAAACAAGCTTGATCATGTAGCAATAGCCTGGGAAATTTAAAAATTGCCACAACCTTGGAGAAATCTTTACAAAGCTTGCTTTTGGAAATGTATATCTGCTTGTGTGTAAGAGGACATAGGTATTTGTTGCTCTACCTCTGGTGATACAGCTAACCCTGAACACTCCCAATTTACATTTTAATTTCCCAATTTATATTCCTGAATAAAATAATTTTCCTTTGTAAAAATGTTAAACTGTTGTTAAACTACTTTGGTACTGCCTTCATCTGGGGCAGCACCACAGTGGTTCAGATTAGAGAAGGCAAAGAGTCTGTGGAGAGGGGCCCTGCCCAGGGGAAGGGATGGGAAAGCTACCAGGGATTTTCATCTGCCAACATCATGCTGCAGCTGCTAGATCACTTGCTGTCTTTTTTGGGGACTTTGTACAAGCACAGGGCATAGCTTGTGAGTGCTGCTGCCATAGCCCTTGCTCCCATACCCTCTCGCTCCCTGCCCCTGCCTACTCCCGCCACTTGTCACGCACCCAGGAACCTCATCTCATTTTCAGTCTCACACTTATGTCTCACTTCCCCAACCCTGAGACTCCTGCTTCTAAAACACCTCACCCTGCATCACTGGAAAGCCCATGTCACTGCCACTTACCCTGGCCAATAGGTGAGCACGCTAACACAGTGATATGCACTATCTAGAAAGCAGAAATAAAAAGGTCAAGCCTAACTGGCATCTGCCCCAGCCCTGTCTTGGCCTCAGCCATGTTTGCTTGGACATACAGAAGCTTGAAGAAGGGAGCATGCACTAGTTCACATTTGCACAGTGAACTCTTGATCTACATCAGCATGTGTAACCTGCCCCCAAGGTAAACCCAGGGAACTGCTGCTTTTGGTGGAGGGGTGATCATCTTGGTGCTCCCAGCAAGGCAGGCCAGTGGCACACAGGCAGCTGCGGAGCAGCATGTTACCCTGAGGGAATGTGTTTGTGCCAAATGATCTGCAGCGGGCACATGTTGCTCAAGCCTGACCCATGGCAATACAGATGATACACCAAGGGGCAGCTTTGTCCTACCATGTCCACCTACCAGTTCTGTTGTGTTCAGTCTTTCTGCTGAAAAGTTGCAACTTGTCCTTTACCCATGGGAGGAGGGAAGGAGACCATGAAAGTGTTATTTAGTGATTCTGGGCGTCACCTGCCAAATGGTCCTTGAGTTCTCATTCCTAGTCCTGTACCTTATCCAAGGTCTGTTTACAGAACAAGAAGTACAAAGCAGCCCTGACCCTCCCCAGTGAGCGCCCTTGGCTGCTGATACATGCCCACACATGTTCCCTCTCTTGGGCCTCATAAATCTTGAATTCCTTTCTCCACTGCTTCAGTGAGATGGATGGTAGTTGCACTCTGCACAACTTACCCTTTGGTTAGGATATGGAGGGAATCAGGTACAAAGCTCTGCAGGCAAGAGAACTGAATGTAGCTTTTAGTTTTTTATTTTCTTCAGTGCCTGGTGCTCAATGAGTCTGTCCTGGTGGCCCAGCCTCCTTCCCTTGTGCTCTGAAAGAACATCTTTGAAATAAAGGTGGGATATCAGATACGTTTGCCATCCCTCCCTTCCATAGGTGCTGTCTAGAGGCAGCTTCCTCAGCTGTCAGGACTCCTTTGCAAGCACAGATGCTTCTACTTTGACGTCTGTGGCAGCAGAGCCCATCCCAGTTGGTAGGCAATAGGTGGGTGCCTGGGTGTCTTCACACAGACGTCCACCTCTGACACCGAGGTACCTGCATCTGTGCTGTACAGGGAACCCACGGGTGCTGTGTAGGAAACCTGCCTAGCTCCCACCACAGCACTGTCAGGATTTCACACCAGCTGCATGAACATTAAATATTTCTGAAATTAACTTTGAAGTTGCTAAGCCATTTGTTGAGTTCCTGCTTTTGTGCTCATACAGCAACATGCTTTGCTAATGCTAGTTACCAGCATTTCACTGTCTAGTGTCTGGTAGAAATCTTATATATAGCCACAGAAAAATCTATACAGCCTATATTTTTTTCTATTTTTTAAAAAAGTGTCCTAAAAATGAACTCAAGCTGTGCAAGCAGAAGTTAATGTGTTTAGGCTTGCATGGTGTATTCCCTCCTGTGTTGCTCCTCATATGTTTGCCTGATTTCCCAGAGTGACATAGGTGCACTCAGTGCGCACTGCACATGCCATGAGTCTCACAGCACCGGGTACACCTTCTATCCATCCATACAGTATGTACCGTGTCTGTATCAGTTTTTCCTAGGTGCGCCAGAGCTTGACACGTGTCCTGCAGTGACAGTACAGATACCATAGGGTATATATACCACAGGTCCAGGATTTCCGTATGTCCTGCAGGCGCGCTGGAGTTATTGCTACTGCTTCACCTTGGCTGCAGGACATCAACAAACCCCAGACAAACGTCCAAATAGAATATGATTTGTCTGAACACATTTCTGGATGGATAAAAAACGTTTATTTAGAAGAATGGGTGATAATTTGAAGGACACATGTCTTGGGTGCAATAAATAAAATACACTGGCCCTGTTTATGCAAGCAAATATATGTCAAACATTCTTAAGTCTTACCCTCTGGAAAGTTTCTACACCACCCGGACTTCCCTGGACATCTGTTGATTTGCCTACACGCAAATATAAAAATAGTATTATCTTTATTTTACCTTTAAGGCTGATGGTAAGGGTGTTAGAGGTGGCTGCTGAATCCAGGGGACCCTGCAACTCAGGGATTCCTCCTTGCTCCCAGCTGCAGAGTCCCGAGGTCTCCCCATCCCAGCCCCACGGGTGCATCCAGTGCCGTTGGGGTTTGCCGGGAGGGCCGGTAGCGAGGCTGAGCCCCCTCTGTGCACACCCCCCGGGATGCCAAGGCACGGCCCTGCATGGAGCAGCACGCACCACACACCCCGGCCGTGCAGACAGCCCCGTCCCGCAGCTCCTCTCCGGACTGGGGTTCCCTACAGAACCCCCCCGCGGTCTCAGGTTCACAAGCACAACCACATCCACGGACCCTCAAACATCTGCGTGGCATCCAAGTCCGCCTAATATCCCCGCCCAGACCCTGGCCCCCCTTACCCGGTGACGGCTCTCCCTCTGTTCGTCGCCAGCCTGCCCTGAAGTTTGCTAGCGAGTTCTACCTACACGTACCCGCACCCAGGATTAAATTCACGGGTGCCCGGCTGCTGCCGCACGGGCCCGCAGTCCCCTTCTCGGCTGCTGCCACAGACCTCGCGGCACCCGCACGGCACACGGAAGGAAGCCTCAAGGGCGGATGGATGAACAGGGCGG